TCCATTGATGTATGGTTTGTTAGGATAGAGCAATTTTTGACAGAGATACAACTATTTGAAAATCTGGAATCTGAGGGTGCAAAAAAATAAAAATATTGAGAAAATAGCCTTTAAAGTTGTCCAAATGAAGTACGTAGCAATGCATATTACGAATCAAAAATTAAGTTTTAATATATTTACAGTAGGAAATTTACTAAATATCTTCATGGAACACGATCTTTACTTAATATCCTAATGATTTTTGGCATAAAAGAAAAATCTATAATTTTGACCCATACAATGTATTGTTGGCTATTGCTACAAATATACCCCAGCGACTTAAGGGTCACATATTTAACATCATGTTAAATTAGCATAGAAAACTGACAATCTTGGTTACAATTCTATGGTTTCATGCTCAAGGCTATCAACATCAACTACCTTCTACCAAGATGCTGCAGGCCACCAGTTGAGAGGCTTTGTGTTACCTTGTGGCTTTGTGTCACCTTGATGAAACTGTTGTTTGTGTATATGTGTGAGTAGGCCACCATATTTCAGGTGTGAAGTGCTGTGCTCTGTGATGATGGAGAGCTAGTGCCTTGATTTAGTGATTGCCAAACAAACCAAATGAGAGAGGGAAGAAAGAGAGTGAGAGAATCAAACACATCTACTCAGAGCTACACTTGAGATTTCACAACAAGCTGCAACTTAGTCCAAAATTACAACACCTAGAAGTAACTTTAACCATTTAATTTTTCTTTCTTTTCATTTCAGAAACGGAAAGGTACAGATAATGACACGTTCAAGGCCATGCAATACGCCACAAGGGTATCCATCTCATTGTCCTCTTAGAGGTGCCCTGGTCATTACAGAAGATCATCTTTTGTCATTAAGTGGGAGGATCACCTTTATTTTCCCCGTATGACTTCTGTAGTGATTAGCGCTTGCTTTATTCCAGTCAGACGGGGAGAGTAATTACTCAACCTTTAGATAAAACACTGATGTCAGAGGTTCTCCATACATCTAACCGACACTCTCCGAAGCTGTAATGATTAGATAAGAGCGCATATGAGTCAAATATAAAGCATACGACCTCCAGAACTTCGCAGGCACCAACGTAAAAGACAAAAACTGCAGCTACAGAAACGCTACCCTTTCAGAAGGCAATTTACTGCTCAGCCAAAGATCACCCCTTCCTTTCACATGATAAAATGAAATATTTTGACTTGATTTGTACAGTGGTGTGACAGCCCGCATCCTAAGACTCCCAAGGCGGGCGACACCACGGCCCTTCGAGCATACGGTCAGGACATGGGACAGCAGAGCAGTTGACATTTAAAGGACAAATAGCTGGAGGGGAGAGATGGTTTAGGTGTGGAGAAACAACACTTCTCCCATGAGTTTCCGCTTCAGAGCTTTTTGAGCGACCACACAAGCATGCCAAAGCACTAGTAGCGTGTCTACTGTCAGATCCTCTCCTGTCTTTTTCCATCCATCTTCATTTTCCCAAGGGTCATGCTACATGGAGTTTATTGCTTCTTTTAGAGGGGTAAACCAATGAATTTTACTTATGAATATCCAAATTAAGCAATATCACATAAGCATGCTGCACTGAATATCAGTGCAAGAAATTAAAGGTGTAGTTGACCAAAAAAGTTGAAGTCTGTCATCATTCACAACACAAAATCATTTAAAAGCCAATAGAGTGCAAAAGTGTTTGCCCACTTTTTCAGCAGCCTTAGTTCTGAAAGTATCTTTCCCATTAATTTTTTCATAGGGATTTTTAAAACATCTCCAGTAAAGAGTTAAAAGACAAGAAGTAAACCAATCAGCTATGAGGTAAATCACAACATGACAAACGTTATTTTAAAGCAAAAACATATCAGAAAATCGGACAAAAAGACTAAGGTGTAACAACTTTAGAGAGGAAAAGAACTACAATCCCATAAAGCATTGTGAATGACATGACTACATTAAAAACAACAGGTAAATATAAAACTATTGACTTAAATGTTGATTGTATATAGAAACAACATATTTTACAGTTACTGCAAAATATGCATGTACTGTATATACAAATATTTAAGCATTCACAGTACTCAATGTCTAAATATTTTTTCTCACAAATTATGCTGTTAAACAGGAATATTAAACAAATCAGTTGAAATACCACTTCAACAAAACCGTTGATCAAACTCGCAGATCACAGTAGGCTTGTCTGTTTTTAAAGATTTAAAATTTATCATTAAAAATCAATGGAGATAATCAATGGGATTTTTATGAAACCCCATTGAGTTTCACTGTATGGACAATGAAATAAATATTTTTCAAAATATCTTCTTTTTTTTCATTTCACAGAAGAAAGCAAGTCATACAGATGTAAAATGAGGAGTAGTTTATGACAGAATTTTCATTTTTGGCTGGACTATCACTTTAAAATCAAGGGTTTGGTTTTTTTTTATCATTTTTTTATAGTATAAAATTCTTCCAAAAAAGCCCAGTCATCAAGCATTGTGTGTTGCCAACCAACATACATACAACAGAAGAGAGGATGAGAGCCGAATGGAGTGACTGCAAAGAGCACTGCAATCAAGACTTTTTTTTTTGCATTTCCCGCTCCCTGCTCACACAAAACAAAACAATCCCACTTCCACTCCATACACACACACACACACACACACACACACACACACACAACAACCCCACTTCCACCCCATACACACACACACACACACACACACACACACACACACACACACACACACGGACAATCTGAGTCATTCCAACAGTGAAAATGTAGTCCTAAAGGCGATATATCAGCACTCATTGAGCGCTGCACAGCCAATCAGATTCAAGAACCAGAACTGTCCATCTAAGCTAGCGGACAGTACATGACCACAGCTGTCTCATGGGAAATGTAGTCTCATCAATAAACCAAAAGGAAATTAAGTTTACATTAATAGAGTTTCAGGAAGACCTCAGGGTGAGGGAAAAAAATAATAAAACCTAAGCCTCAAACACTCTAAAATGCATTTATCTTTGTCATTGGTCATAGCACACATGCAATTTGATATATAAAAGGATATGCACATATGTTCAACCCAATGACAAGACATCTCGAGTTTTGTATAAAATCTCACTCCAGACCATTTAACACCACACATACATACATGTAATATATGCATCCGTCCTTAAATGCATTGTCAGATTTTTCTTTAAGCTACATACACTTTCAAACTATACAACAATGGCTATGAATTAGCTTTCAGTTTACCCGTTACATTAATAAAACTGGCCTCCACTCGTATCCTGCTATAATGGCGATGCACTGACACAAGCTTATTAGAGCATTAAATGCAAAGTCAAATCAAATGAACATTAACATTTAACATACAGTCCTCCTTTTTCCAGCCATCTGTCTCCCTGAGGAAACAGAGCATTCAGTAGTGGTATTTTCCAAGGCCCTGAGTTCGAAATGACTTAATTTGTTCATCTGAACCATTGGCAGCCCATCTATTCTCAATGCTCGAACAGTTATGTAATATGATCAGCCCTCACGCCGTGCAGGTTTTGTTACTTAGTAAACAAGGGTAAATAATCTACTTGAAAAGGGGGAAAAAAAGACGTTGACATCATTATGTATATTTGGGGCACACAAAGCTACTCTTTATTGCTGTAGTGTCAGACTAACCTTTGAAGTCTTGCGCACTATTAGCAAAAAATTGTCTGGTGAGATCCAAGAACACCTTGGAAACCAAGTAAGCCCTTTGTTATTGTGTTTTGCTGATTTAATTTTAATACTTCGGTGTTCCTCATTTCAAAACGGTGGCTCCATGAATGAAATGACAATCCCGCACTTAGGTCCTGACTAAACCACAACACAACTGACGTAATGTACAGAGACCCGGACGTCATGGATGGACAGTCACTACCAATCAAATGACAATGAAGTTCATCAACAGGTCAAGTCTACATGTGATATTCACCTGAATATTCAAAAAAAAAAAAAAAAACCTTAGGGGTGCTAAACACTACAGCAGGATAAACTAAGATATTTGGAGATATTTGGAGTGTCATACCTAGAGTTGCTCCATTTGCACATGAATACAGTGACCAAGTCTAAGCTAAATGAAATAAAGAGCAAACGAGTGCATTTTTTTTCAAAGAGGAGGAATAATAAATCTTACTGCAGTCCAGTAACCATGCTAAAGAATATTCATGTATAACTAATTGATTCAGTTGCAAATCCAATCAACCTAGTTTTGTCAAAATGAAAGCTAAATATCACCGTCTTGTGTTTTCCTCATCTGACATGCCATCCGAGGACCAAAATATAGCAGAGGCTCCTGGGTTCTTGAAGCATTTAAATCCCATGGCCTGTTCATCATCCTTTGTGTCTGGCTGTATTCAACATCCATGAGTTCATGTAATCCACAGTCTAAAATCCTTAGGATGTTTTTTATTTTATTTTTTCTTCCTTTTTTTTTTTGTTTGTTTGCTTGGTTCTTTTTTCCGGAGCATACAAAAAGTCCCATCCACCTAATCAAAATTATAAAAATGGAAGCCACTTGCAGGGAATAAAGTCACATAGAGAAATGTTCTTGGGTTGTGGGGAGGAGAACGGTGACCACAACAATGCGCGCCACCTATTCCTTGATCCAGAACATATCAATAAAAAAATATCTGAGTAAAAACCTCACTGCTTTCTTCCAGCATTGACATCTTCAGTAGTTGTTACATTGAACTTCTTTGTAAAGAGACTTTCTCATCTCCTAATGCAAAAGGTAGGAGATTACATATTTCTACATTTGCACTTTAATTAAATATTTAAACAATAATTTAAATAAACCTGAATAAATAAATAAATATATAAATAAATCTGAATAAATAAATGAATAAAAATTACAGACAGACAGACAGATGATAGATAGATAGATGTCTGACTTCCTCCCATTAAGTTCGGTCACTCTCTAAAACAAATGCTTTGCTTCAGATTGAATGTGGAACGTTGTTCTCTTTCCTCAATGATGTAAAACACAAATACAAACAAACAAAATAACAAACGAACGAAAAACCTGTAAAAAGTATGTGTATACTGAAAGAGTTAAAATCCTAAAATCTTCATTGTAATTGAACTGCATTAAATCATTGAACACAACATGCCCTCTTTTAGAGAATCAATCTATTTGACTGTATTTTTTTTAACTGTATCTCCTTATCTTTTCAGTTCCTCTATATATATGCTTGTAGGTGTATCTTTTTTTCCCTTTTTAACTAACTTTTAAGAAAACTCCTAGCATTCCGGCATACGGAGAGCTTTGCCTGTACTGCATGTCGTCTCCTGACCTGATTATTCAGGCAGCTGTCTGAACAGTCCCCTTCGGTCTAGTCATGCTCCAAGGGGCCAAACTGCTCTCAGGTCTCTCTATCCAGTTTCTCTACAGTCCTGTTGGACGTTTACCACAAGCAAATACAAAATGGTAACAGGTCACAAATGAAAACAGGGAGATAGAGAGAGAAAGACTTTGAGATGGAATGCCACATGTCAAACTGCTCCCTGAAAAAAACAGAGATCGAGTAGTGGACCTTAGAAATAACTAACACTAGGTAAAGTTTCATCTATTTCTCCTGGAGCCCACAATTGTTATTTGGCTTGTACTTTCCCCGTCTTTTCCTTGTGCTGCCTCCGACTGACTCTCTCTTTTTGCTTCTCTACTTTCTTTCCAGGGGCTGGTGATTTTACCCTGTGCCTCTTTTATGAACACTTTTTCTTGGGTTGTGAGAGTCCCGTGGTCTAAGCTGCCCGTGCTGTTGCACTTTTTCACAGACGGGGGAGCTACAGAGCTTGGCAGAAGCAGCGACGTCAGCGACAGGCTGCTCGGCGTCTCTGAGAGCTGCTGGCTGTCACACGTCTGGTTAGAGCCGCACCGTACCATCCCTACATCCTCATCGGAGCCTTGCTGAGTTCTTCCTGCACTGATGTCCGTTTCACAGCTGCTCTTGCTGCGCTGGTGTCCCCTCGTAGTTTGGAGGTTCTGGGCGGCTGGAGGACTGGGTCTCAGGGTCTCCGTGGAGAGGCTGGCCCGATCGTTGAGGAGTGTGTCCAGCAGTGGCTGGGTAGTGGATACGATGAAACGGAGCCCTTCTTCCATGGTGGTCAGTAGGCTGCTCTCTGAGCTCCCCGTAGCCAGGGAGGAGTCACTGTGAGATGGATACTGGGGGCAGAGAGGTCGAGTTTTTAGCAATGAATTGATAATCAGTACGTTTAACATGGACAACAATACTCCGATATTAACACGATTAAGACAATGCTCTACCATGTAAACAAGAGATTTTTGATTTCCTTAATCCGGCTAAAGTCATACTCGAAGTAAACGCAAATCGAATTAAGACTTAATCACACTATTACCATCGTGTAGGAGTTTTTGCCGCATTTTGTGACAGGATACACACACGGCAGTGGTCAACCGTTTGACGGCAAACAAAAAATTAAATTAAAACAACTTTCTCCAACCAGTCCTTACTTCGTATTCTCATCAAGTACCTCCGAGTTTGTAGTGGCGGCATGAATGAAACGTTGCCGAATGAAAGGGTAGCCTGTTTCTGGAGAATCTGTATCCGCCGCCGTCTGTTTGCATGTATTGCATGACAATAACTGCATTTGAAGCTTTCGTAAAATTAAAAATGAAACACCCAAAACTGTGGTACCATAACGAAGACGAACTACGTCGGATGGCGTCACGTGGGGGCATAAAACGTGTGCCATTAATCGATCTATGTACTATAACATGTAAAACGGGAACATAAAGGGAATATTCTAAAAGCAACTCTAGAATAAGGTAAATAAGGTAAACTATTTAGAATAAGGTAAATAATTAGATTACTGATGTCCATGTAAAAGTATTGAGTGATCCGCAATGCATAAGTTGTACATGTGTGTAAGATCAAACCTGTGTGGTGAGCAGCCTGGTGTTTGCTCCAGGAGAGCGTAGAGACGCCCATGAGGCTGGGGAAGTTAGCCGAAGCCCTCTTGGTTTGTGCCCCGGTCGGCCTCTCGGAGGTGCGGGGAGGGCCGCTGCAACTGGGTGGAAGAATTCAGCAGGGAGATGGATGGGAGTGGTAGAGCGGCTCGAAGCTCCAGAAACCCCTGGGTGCTCCTGATTACTGCTGCTACAGGGAAGTCCACCTGCAAACAAATTCAGTTACTGAATTTAAACGGAGGTAGCAAACAGGATGCAGATTTGAGTTTGAACGTAAGGAAGTAGAATAACACTCTAACAATGTTGGTAACAAAAGCTGTAGGCAACATGTTTAGATAATCAAGTATTTGTTCAAAAACCTGTCCAAATGTTGTCCAAACTTTCAAAAATTAGTCACACTGAACAATGTTTTGAAAGTTCCCAGCATGCATTGCAGCTTGAAATAATTATGCGGTATCTAGGGCTGCACGATAAATCGCATGCGATATTTAATGCGCATCTTGTCAGAAAGCCGGTTCTGTAATCAGTGGTAAATCTCCATCACCTGCAGGCTTTCACATTGAGCAGCATTAACTACACAGAGCTGTTGTTCACTGACGAGCTGCGCAAAAAATCGTGCGAATATGAAAGTGGTTTTGTGCAGCTTGTCAGTGAACAACGGCTCTGTGTAGTTAATGCTGCTCAATGTGAAAGCCCGCAGGTGATGGAGATTTACCACTGATTACAGAACCGGCTTTACTGATGCTCGTTAAATATCGCATGCGATTTATCGTGCAGCCCTAGCGGTAACTATTATTAAAAAATGCCACTGGCTTAATATAAATATATATTTAGTATATATATTTCAAATTTAATAGAATTTAAAATCTGGCTTAATTTATGCTGATGTCACTATTGCCACTGTTAGTTAGCTGTCACATGGTTCAGAGTTCATATTTTCACTGAATTAATTTAATTTGTTGACGTTTGTGAGATGCGTGTAATATGTTTGCCTCTAGTTTTAAGAGGCAAATAATGCCTGGTCATGTCAATATAATGATGAAACAACAAGGTTTGCAGCTCACTGCATTGATACATGCTAAACAGTCTTTTCAAAGTTTTCAGTTGTTAGCTGTTACATTGCCTTTTTTAAATTAGGTCAACTAACGACAGCAAGGGTCCTACCACGTTCAAGGCCCAGAAAGGTATTAAGGTCATCGTTAAAATAGTCCATGTGACATCAGTGGTTCAACCGTAATTTTATGAAGCTTTTATTAATTTGTGTTCCAAAGATGAACGAAGGAGGATGAGAAATGAATGACAGAATTTTTCGAATTTAATGTAATAGGTTGCCTTTTTGAAGTTAGGTCAACTGTTCTAGTGCTGACCTAACACTAGAACAGTTCTAGTGTTCAATTCGAATTCAAAATCTTATTTGGAAAGTGAGACTATTTTCTATTTTGAACTTTGCACAACTAATGTGCACAATGCCTTTCTGGCTTTGTTCTCCAGTATCATTCCTGTAGGATGTGTCGCATTACCTATGCTGTGACGAGCAGGTGTGTTGTGATGTGGACTTTGAGAACCACCTCCATTCACTGCCGCCCCATCCTCTGTCCCAGAGCTGTGAACCCGAGAGGCTCGCCGTAACCTGCTGTGAGCTCTCCCTCCAGGTTCTTCAGTGTTTAGGCACTCATCACAACCCCTTTCCTGAGCAGAAATATTAGCAAGAGCTTTCAGGATCCTGGGGAGACTTTCAGGTCTCTTAAACGCTAACATCTTACTTTCTTGGTAAAGTAAACACTTTTAGGCTCCCTGCATTCAGGGCTTCCCTCGATAACAGTAAAAGAGATTAAGGAACGATTAAGTTCTGCTAGATAATCTGAGCCATCTGCCTCACATACTGTCCTTTATGGGGTTTCTCTAGCAAATAGCTAGAGATGTTTATGTCTGCTGAAGAATTACACTGGTTGAGCAGCGGAGCTACATGCCCCATGAGACTGCAGGATTTAGACTAACAGCTTATAGTTATTTGATTTCTTCAGTCTAATTAGTGCGAGTCTGTGGTCATTCTCACTGATTATATATAATTAAAGGATCATTGTTTGGGATATAAGGGATTACCGCAGTTTATACATCAGATAGAGGTCAATCATTTCCAGGGGGGCAGAGTTATCATCTGTTACTGAACATAAGCCACTATTAAGGGCATGAAAACAAATTACATCAAAACTATATCAACTTCAAATGCTATCTCTTAACAACACCCAAATAATTCAACATTTATAATGTTACAAAAGATTTCTGTTTCATATAAATTATGTCCTTTGAACTTTCTGTATATCAAAGAATCCTAAAACTATCATGGTTTCCACAAAAACATTAAGCTGCAGTGTTTTCAACTCTGATAATAATATAATAACACTTTATATGAAGCCCGTATTTATAATACATTATAAAGGCATTATAATGAATGCATAATGCATTATAAAAACCTTATAATATGTTGTATCATCTCATGAATGTTCATAAGAACAGTTTTAATATATTATAATATTTACTTATTTGTGGTTATAGCTTTTAAGAGAATGATGATTTATAACACAATGAACATGTTGCATCCACTTTTACAATGGATTATATTTCTCATAGTTATAATGTATTATACGTTTCATATCTTGCCATTTTTCTTATGCTACTTTACTTAAAGCGGCCAAAGACCACTTATAAGTAGTAATGATAATAATAATAATAATACAAATTTATCTCAAACAGCCATACAATCAGATATCAGATCAGATGAATGTGTCTAGTTGCAAAGTTGCTTATAGTCGATTGATTAAGGGGACCATCAAAATAAAATGTAACCATTTAAACATTGCATTTTTTTCAGTTGGAGTATAATGCTCACATCAGTTAATTAACATTAGCTCCACAGGAAACACTCAAATAACACTCAACATCTAACCACTCACAAGCTGTAGTAAGATACTGTGCAGATCTTAAATAAACAATGTCAAGATATGATACAGTCCATTATTCTGTAAATTAAGTAGATTTAATATGGTGTTCATTGTGTGTTATAAATAATCATACTCTTAAACTTATAACCACAAATACGTAAGTATTATGATGTATTATAATTGTTGTTATGATTATTCATGAGTTGATATAACATATTATACGTTTTTTTTTATAATGCATTATGCATTCATTACAATGCCTTAAGAATACCCTTATAATGTATTATAAATACGGGCTTCATAGAAAGTGTTACCGAATTCAGCTTTGCCATCACAGTAATAAATTACATTTTAAAATATATTAAAATAGAAAACAGTTATTTTAAACTGCAATGCTATTTCACAATATTACTGTTGCATAAAATAAATGTAGCTTTGGTGAGCGACTTCTTTCAAAAAAAAAAAAAAACTTTCTGACCCCAGATGTTTAAATGGTAGTGTGTATAACTCAAAAAGGGTGTTGTTGATTATTTCTAATTTACTTAGACAAAACAGTACAGCATTTTAATATGAGCTATTTATTAGTCATTGGCCATAGCATGAAAGTAATTATCAACAATCATCAATAATAAATACAAATATTAGCAAGAATCCTGAAGAGTGCATATACCTTTAAACAGATTTTCAAACATTTCAAAGTGTAGATACTAAGATAATTGTAGGGGTGAAGCATTCAAAATGACAAAATTTTTCAGAGAGAAAGTTCACCTTTCCCTCTTTGACAGCCATCTGGTACAAGCTCTGCTCGTCCAGGCTGAGGTCATCAGGCAGCGCTGGTGAGGATGACTTATCTGAGAGCTGCTCCGACCTCAGAGACGCCTGCTCCAGTTCAGCCATGTGGATCTGCTGTGGGCAAGAATTTATAGCAATGAGAATTGAGAGGGTTTTTAATCATTAAAATCCTTCCCCACTATTTGGATTTCTGCAGACTTTTACTATATGCCAGTCTAACAGCTTTGTGGAGTTTGCAGAGTGCTGAAATGAGTTTGAGTGATAAAACTGTGAACAGAGACTTTGGATTGTTGTGGACAGCATGGTTTATGTCTGACAACGTGATGATGACTTTCCAAAGAAGAAATCTGGGTAATTCAAGAAGAGAGATGTTTAGAGTCAAACAGAGTGAGTGGGAGAGAAGAGCTTGCAAATCAGAGATGTATGGAGAAGCAGAGACAGGGGAGTGGAAACAGACTGATGGACTGACATTGTTGGCAGCCTGGCAGAATGGCGGGATGACAGGTGAGGAGGTTACGGCTTGAATTACTTCTTTCCTAGAACTACCCCTGTCCTGTCCGTCACTGTGATGGGACACAAGCATTGAGAGATTTTGTGTGTGTACACTAAATAATGTGCTATAGTACAATAACATATCTATCTATCTATCTATCTATCTATCTAAAACTGAATTTAATTTCATTCTCATTTTATTTGTGAAGATTTAGATATGGGACACAAGCATTGAGAGATTTTGTGTGTGTACACTAAATAATGTGCTATAGTACAATAACATATATATCTATCTATCTATCTATCTATCTATCTATCTATCTATCTATCTATCTATCTATCTATCTATCTAAAACTGAATTTAATTTCATTCTCATTTTATTTGTGAAGATTTAGATGTAGGTTAGTTTTTAAGATTAGACTTTTTAAACTTGAGTGCACTAGCAAACACTGACACAGCTCCAGTGTACCTCTTGCGGATGAGTCCTGCAGTCCTTGCAGACGGGTGGGGAGGAGTAATGATGGAAGACGGAGCCAGAGAGGTTGTCAATCATCAGCATCTCCCCTTCAAACGAATCTTTGATAAGCAGAGATACACTGTCCAGCCACAAGTTCTCCTGGGATACAAACACATATCACCAGAGTTAATAACACACAGTTATTAACAATAACTCTAAAGTAAGTGCAGGGCCAACGACTGGGGATCTGGGAACACATTTCCAAAATTTATGATGAGTGAGCACACATATATCTTATAGGGATGCAGCATTATAATTAAATATAAATAACAACAATATAACTAAAATTTAATCCTTATTTTTATATAAATAAATCCTGTAATATTGGCCAATATAACCATTCTGGTGCAATATACTGTGCATCCATGATAGCACACTTTGTAATGGTCCTTGCACTAGAAAATAGAACATCGTACCCACCTGTGCGCTCTCTCTCTCTCTCACACACACACACACACACACACACACACACACACACACACATTAATGAGAGGGTAGGGTCAGAGAAAGGGTCTCCTTCACTGTCACAGAACTGGTCTTAATGACGGCGTTTGAGAGGAGCCTTACAGCAGCAGAGCTTCAAAGAGCAGCTGTGCAGAGGGCTAAACCTGCACACACGCTGCACAGTCACACACTCCACACACACTGTATCCGCTCAGCAAAATCCTTTGTGGAAAAAATTCAAAGCGATAAAAGTTCGAAAACATGTCTGAGGCACCTCAAAAGTTTTTGAAATTTGGCTCATCTCGAGGGCCATGAACACGTAAACAAAAACCTTTCGCCCGAATCAATCAACGTCTATTTTAGCTTCCCTCATAAATGCCACATCACTCAATGCTAATATCAAGATGAAGTAAATGTGGTGCAAGTACGATTTCAGAACAATCTTCTGAGAGAAGGAATAAAGATCTGACCATTCAATATTCAGTTACCCAACAGAGCAATTTAGGAAGCAGTCAAGTGAAGAATCAATCTAACACAATCAAAATGTAGCGTTGTCTAATAGCAGTCATTTATTTCTCCAGGTAATTGTGCTCATTGCGTCACTGCCAAACACTTTTGATTTCCTACACCAATAAACAATTAAGCTGAAATGACTAATTTGAGTTAAATGAAAATTGATCAGGCTGGCCTGCCTGCTAATTCGAAGTGCACTTAGTTATTAGCAAGCAATAAACAAATGTACAATAAACAGGACTAACAAAAGAGCTCTTACAAACACCAGCAAACCTCAGCACTTCTAATGAGAGATTGACAGCAGGATTTCACACTTTAGGCCTGACACCAACTCACAGGCTGCTTTTATACCCTAAAGATCAGCACCTAGCAGTGGCCAGTGTTACAGGATCACATACACCTCTGTAGTCCAGAGGTTTAAGTAACCAATTTATGGTTCCAGCCATGACCCACAGAGATAATGGTCCGCTTGGGTCTGGTTGCGGCCAATGCACAGGGCGATACGGTCACGGCCTGTAGTGCGAGAACAATCATTTTCAATATGGCTCTGATCACGAGTGCCACATTTATGGGTGTTAGAGTCTCACCTGTGCCGGCGTGGGTCATAATTTGTATCAGCCGGAAGGAGCGGGGAAATGCTGTATAATTGGCAGGGATGTAGTTTTAATGACATTTCAACATATGGTAGTATCAGTGTCTCAGCATATGGCTACCTCAGCGCTCCTCAAATCGCAGGTCTCCATAAATCGAAGCGCAAGAGCGTGTACACCTCCAAACCATCTCATTTAATAAGCTTTCTGGCGGCTTCCCTGTGGCAAATCACTCAACACATAGCGCGAACAGGTGTGAATTCAAGGAAAAGCAGCATCTGCCAGATTTGCACTTTTCTGAAGGTTGTGTTTTACAGGTAGATGAATCAACTTGAGATGGTCGTGAACTCGATACAAGGCGATACAAGGCACAGTCTGAATCTAGTCTGTTCGGCGCTTTCTCCTCTGCTGACTATAACTGCGGTTTTGAACAATGCTGATCATGAGGAAAATGATGTGTTACTGGGGACCTAATCAGTACATGCTGTTTCCTCCCAGACCGACACATTAACGCAGACTGAGTCTCATTCACTAGCTGTGTGTAAAAACTGTGTAGCACGTTCTATCTATCCATCCATTCTTTTTATGTTTTTGAAAGAGGTCTCTTATGCTCACTAAGGCTGTATTTATCTCATACTTAAAAAATACAGTAATATAGTAATATTGTGAAATATTATAACAATTCAAGATACCTATTTTCTATCTGAATATACTTTAAAATGTAATTTATTTCTGTGACATTTTTTTTCAGAATTCTTTTATAAAGTTAAAAAAGAACAGCATTTATTTCAAATATTTTTTTGCAACAATGCAAAAGTCTTTTTTTATTTATCTATCGCCTAAATTCCTTCAAACTTAACGGCTTTTAAAACTTTTTTTAAGTCTTTGTCAAGTCAACATTCAAAGTGATTCTTGAGAAACGTTTGCTTTTCTTCAGTTTGAGTTTCTTTGAAGTCGATTCATTTTAATTCTGTCTTTACATTCAAATTCAAATCGCAATTCTTCATCCTGTTTCCTCAAATAAATTCTTAATGATACACAACCCTGACACTAAACACATGAAATGAAATAACAAAAGGCATAATGCAACTCAAACCACACATACACAAAAATAACAAGGCATAATGACATGAAAAAAAATCCTATACAGACATGCAACTAGCTCTGTTACCCATTTTTCAAGGATACGGTAAAAATCAAATATGCATACTCGACAGCATCATCTGGTCTTACGGGTTAAGAACGACAAGAAGGTGAGTAATTAATGACAGAATTTTAATTTTTTGGGTGAACTAACCCTTTAAGGACGAGCAGAAATGCTGCAGTCAGTGTGTCAGTGCGCAAGGCACAATTCAGAAGAGATGCCTAGAGTGGGAGGTGACTTCCCACTGCATTTAAAATATGTTCTGTTATAAATACACACTGAACTGTGCTTGAACTCGGGACGTAAACCTCTCTTTCACAATCTGCTGCTCAGTTTTAGCAAGCCTTACTGGTGTAACAAATAACAGTATGTTTGAACTGCCAAATCAGTTGCCAAAGCAGCTTATCTTTGGATAAATACAGTAAGAACAGCAGAAGTTCATTTTTTTATTTTTTTGCAAAATAAATTCAAATATTATTCCAAAATACATAAAAATCTAAAATCATTATTATAAAGTGTAATTAGAGTAAAATAAGATTACAAGAAGTTCAAGTTTAGTAAATATATGGATATATGTGTATATATCCATCCGAACACCCAATGTAAAAACAGCAGAATTCATTGTGAAATCTCCTGCTGACCATCTGTGAATAAAAAACTTAAGCAAAAATGAAGCTCATCAATGACACATTTGCATTCCTCATGTCTCTAACCTTCTTCCGTTCTGCTCTCTCTCTCTCTCTCTCTCTGAGGAGATGAAATGCTTTCAGTCTGCTGACATGGCTTCTGCTTGAAGTCAAACTAGTTTTTCCAATTCCTGTTTTGCTGACTGTCATGCATACCTCTTTCCTGTCTCTGTATCTGTCTTTGTCTCCTCCTCTCCATCTCTCAGCCCCAAACCTGCAGGTAGTGATAAGGACTGAGCTCACTGCATGGGAAAGCCGCTGCTGTCTAGTCTGTGGTGTTTGTGTGCGCCTTTGTGTTTGTCACTATCGAGCCGAGACTCTGAGCAGGTATTGGACATCACTTCCTGCAGGCACTGATCTGTGTCTTTGGATCTTAGTATTCAAATAAACTAATACCAGCACTGGGGCTAGTTTCAGCACATACCCGCATAAGGGTATCGAAAAAGTATTTTGAGAGTTTTGGAGACTTGTTTGTCTCCATTCACTAGGCTAAACTTTTAAGGAGAAAATGTGGAAGAATTTGCTTGAAAGATTACCAACAGCTTCAAAGCAACAGCTATCTGGACTGATGTGGCACTTTCCATGAATATGGTACACCCATATGGTGTCCAATACTGTTTTTCATCAAGCATCAAGCACCCAAACCCCCTTTTCTCTGACAACAAGTAGATATGTTAGACATGACAAACAGCTAGTTTTATCTATCCTCTCTTGCTATTCAATTTATTGTTATAATGTTTTTTTTTAATTAACTAATTTATATACCAAAATCATACATATTTAGCCATTTTCCACATTTTAAATGTTATATGATATCGGTTCATGACAAAAAAGTTATATTTCTTAAAAGTGTCTAGAAATAAAATGTCAGTAAAATAAATAAATAAAGTAAAATGGTGGTAAGGCAAGTAAACATTTTCATTCCATTTTCTAAGTTTTTACAAAATATGTTGATCACAATCGGTCAACAGCTCATCCTTTAAAACTGCAACCCAATTTTTTGAAAAAAGTGAAATAATAAACTTTTCATAAATTATATTAAAATAAAATCTTACTTTAATAATATAATATTTAGCTAGCTAGTCTCTATATGAAAAATAAATATGTATTTTTTTATATATTTCTATACAAAGTGACATGTCTGGCTATATTCATAATTAATTTTAATTTAATTATATTACATTAAAACTGCTTACATGGCAAACTTCATAAAATTATTAGAAAGTAAAACAGCTAATATAATATTTTGTTTGACCTCCTGAGACTGACAATTAAGGTTTTCTGAAGGTTGAGCATTTTCTTTTCACTGACCATTTGTTAAAAAAAGAAAAGAAAAACAATTGTTTAGTGTTTGTATAAAAAAACTGCAATGCAATGAATTCAACTCTTCAATTAGCATTCCGTTCCTTTCTCTCTCTGTACTCCTCATCTTTTTTCCTCTTCTCTCGACAGTTACATAATCTGCTGCAAAAGCTAAAAATGGACAGGTAAAGACAATTATAGCTCCACAATAGCTGCCTGACAGTGAGTCATCACGGCGTGCGCGCGTGTGTGTGTGTGCACCACAACATTTGTCAGTATTCTGTTTTTAGCAATTCAGTCATGCATGTGGGGAACTTTTCTTTCCTGGTGGATCTGGTTCAACAGTTAATCATTTGATCCTTAACTTAATAACAAAAGGTGATTAACTGTAGTTTAGCGTGTTTACATATCTAATGCCGAGTTCACACTGCACGATTTTAGCCCGATTTTTCACTCGCCAACAGGTTTTGCGAAATCGGAGGCAAATCGGTGCTCGTTCAAGCGAGTGACAATCACGCAGTGTGAATTATCAAAGACGCGATCTGAGGGAATCACAATCACGCTGTGTGAAATGAGTTCTGACTGAAAAACACATCGGCGATGACCTACAGCCAATGAGAGAACAAGATACAGGACAGCGGTAAGTTCGGGTTATATGAAACATAGTTTGTATAACTGTATAACTGTATAACTGTATACTTACTGTATACAGTTATATAACTTATGTATACAGTTATATGAAACATAGTTTGCGGACCAGTGTTGCCAAATCCGCGATTGCCGCAGGTTGTTTTTTATGTCAGCAGGTTGAAGCGACCCCAATAACGTGATATTTAGGGTCTGGAATGTAATTTGTACCAGGAGAACCCCGCCAAAAAAAAATTTATTTTACCCCCGAACACGATTTTTACTGGGGGACCCCTTCGAAAGCAATTGGGCTATTTTCAGGCTAGTTTTGAGTAGTAATTGGGCGGGTTTTGTAGCGAAAACCTGGCAACCCTGCACCAGACAGAGCTGTCGGCGATTCTTCCTATAGTAAAGTCATGCAGTGTGTAACCTGTCGTCATTCCATCGTGCAGTGTGAACACAGCAGCAACTGAATGCTACCCCAGATAGTCGTTCAGTGTGAAACCAACAGTGATGCGACGTCTTTGAAAATCGTGCAGTGTGAACTCGGCATAAGAGAGCATTGCAGACTGACACAATGTGTTGCCATGGCGACAGGACCCAAGCTGGGGCGAATCCCGAGGCTCTATAATGAAAACGTCTCATTCTGAGGCTACTCCTTCCCCCTTATTATGCCTCTTTTGTCCTTTTTCGCAGACCCAAATCATACTCTAACTTCATGAGCAAAGGGCACTAACATTTTTCCATGCATGAAGAAAATTGCTACTAAACACTACAGACACTACACACATGCATACAAAACTTTCAGAAATGCTGCAAAAGTTTGGTCACTTGACCATATATATATGTATATAGATATATAGATAGAAAGTGTCCATTATATTCAGTTTGTGCATGTCAAAGAGGCAGGTAAAATGAAATGAATATTTTTAAAGCAAATTTATCCAAGTCTCTTGTGCTCACCAAGGCTGTGTTTACTTATGTATACAGTAAAATACATTAAAATAGTAATATTATGAAATATTATTACAATTTATTTGATTGTTATTACAAATTAGGTGTTACGTGTTATTATAATTTATGTGAAGGCAAATTACTCTAATCTTCAGTGTCACATGATCTTTCAGAAATCATTCTAATATGCTGATTTGTTGCTCAAGAAACATTTCTTATTATCAATGTTGAAAAAAGTTGCGTTGCTTAATTTTTTGAAACAGAATCCTTGTGTTATTTCAAATAAATAAATAAATATAAAAATAAATTAAAAATAAATATATTGTAAATAAATAAATACATATTTTGAATGGTAAGGTGGGGTAATGTAAGATTTATAATGATATTACTGTTTAGCAGGGATGCATTAAATTGATCAAAAGGGAGAGTAAATACTTTTACATTGTTATATAAAATGTAGACCCCTATTAAATGTATATAAATAAAATGTAGACCCCTATTAATATTTTGAATTTACATTTTGGGATTGAATTTACAGCATAAATATAACCATATTGGGATATTGGATATACCATAAATGTGATTTAAACTCACTCCTTGCTACAGCCATTCATGCATGAACACATCCAACCAAATCACATATTCAACAATTCATTCCTCCATTAACAATCAGTCAATCTAGCCATCTATTCCATTATCACTCCAATCATCAATCACATCTACAGTATCCATCATTAATGTGGCCATCCATTCAGTCAAACCTTTTCTTAGTCAATACATTCCTCCATCTACAATCTATCCGTGCATATCTACAATGCATCCATCATCCATTAGTCATCAACACAGTGACAATCTATCCTTTCTTAATTTCAACCAAATCATCAATTCATCAATTCAATGCTCAATAACCCAATCTCTTATCTACCATCTAACCGAATCATAATATTCATGAATGCATTCCTCCATCAATAAGCTGTTCATCAGTCCATCCATCCATCCCCTGCCATCACTGTGTGTGTCGTACCTGGGCTGGTGAGTAGAGTTTCCTGGCGCTGTTGGGCTCGTGGACCCCTGGGAGTGTGTTTGGGGAGTGAGGTGGAACAGTAGAGCTGGGTCCAGCCCCCTGATGCCCCCCACTGCTCCTCTCCGCTCCAGACCCCCCTCCTCCGATGCAGCAGAGCGTTCCCTGGGCCAGCTCCAGCTCAATCTCCGCATCCATCTCTGCCTCCTCCTGGGCTTCTTTGTTGGAGTCGTCCAGGTGTTTCATCAGTACTGCCACGACCACATTGATGAGAACAAACTGGGCCGTGAGCACAAAGCTCACAAAGTACAACGGAGAGATGAATTGTAGGCTGGGATTACAGGCGTATTCGCCTGGTGGGCATTCTCGAAGAGTGTCCTACAGGAGTGAAGAGAGAGTTACGATAAAGATATTTGAACTTCTTCCACAGTTAGTTACGTTCAATTCATTTGACTGGACACATCAGGTATATAGAACTACAATACTTGATCACACTTCCTTTAGATCTATTTTCATTGATGGAGTACAATAAGTGGACTGCAGTGATCAGCATTTCTGTAATTAGATTTTTTGTCTTGTTTTCAAGTAAAAATAGCTAAACATCCTTAAAATGCTAATTTAAGATTATTTTAACTGAAACAATTTATTACATTTTATACTGGAAAACAAGACAAACATACTGAATAAATAATTTTTGCATTGTGTCTGATAGGTCAATAATACAAAATAACGTTTTTTTTACGGAAATGTTATTTAACAGTAATTTAGTTGTGTGCTGAAAACTTGGTATCCAATTATGAGACATTACACTTGATAAACTGCACAGTAATAAGTCGATTTCTTAGCCAGCCTCTTTGTTGTTGTTGTTTTTTTCCAGAGGAAAAAAATCTTTAAAATAAGACACATTTACTTGTAGTTTTTTTTTTCTTCTTTTTAAAATCATAAGCCTAACAAGTGGTGTTTAAACTTAAAATGTTTATGTTCGAATGGGGTAAGAAAAACGAATTCAGTTCAATTCACATATTCTCTTAAAACAAATATAATATAAAATACAATATAATACAATACAATAATCTATGTAAGCTTGTTTGCACCATGGGATAAAAAATTTAATTGCTTGCATTTGCAAATTTATATCTCACAATTCTTATTTTTATAGATATATAGATATAAAACAATCTAAATTGTGACAGAAGTCGCAATTACCTTTTTTATTTTTTAATCCCAATTTTAAATATTGTGTCTCAAGTGTCAAACTAAGAATTTGCTTGTTTAAAAAACTGTTGTTTAACAGCAATGTGGTTGTGCACTGAACACTTGACATCCATTTCTGAAAATAATACTAATTACATCAATCAAACACTAGCCATTAAATGATAAAATAATTTTCCATGGCCTCGACTTCCTAGAGGCGGCAGATAAGCAGTTAGTGTGACAACTGTCTTCCCCTTCCTCCTCTTATCATCTGCAGTTTGATTAGCATGAGCTATAGGAACAATAGGAACAAATTCCAGAATTTCAGTCTGATTAATTTTGATATAACATAAACGCTCTCTTTTTTTCCCCTCCAAAGTTGCCGTGAGTGTGAGGCAGATGGGCACAGGCTCTGGCAGTAATTTTGCTTGGCCACTCATGCGTGTGGTTGGGGTTCGGGGAGGCGGTGGCTTCTCTGCAGGTACATAAGAACTCAGGTTGTAATTTACAGCTCTGATTATGGTGCTTTAGCTGCCAGGAGACCACTGCAAGCCTCCGTCAACCATAAAACTCATTGTGTGTGTGCCTAATGGGGGGAGCCTGTCACCCTCCATCAAACACACCCTCTGGTGTGTGCGGGGCGTTATGCATCGATATCGCGCCAATGTGTTCTCATTTATTCAGGTGTGCTTTACTACTGTGCTGAATATGCTGAACTGGTAGTTCCTCCATCATATACCTCTCATATAAACTCCAAGTTGGAGGGAGAGGAGATGAAACGTGGCAGGTTGTCTTTACACAGGCCAATAAGAACTCATTGCTCAAAGACAAGTATATTAGAGATGAGAATGACACAGGAGGACGAGAGAAACAATGATGAAAGAGGCTATGATGAAATACCATATAAAGCAAAAGGAGGGATCAAGAAAAGTGCAGAAAATGGTGAGAAAAGACTGTAACATTGTAGATTTATAAGCTGCTACCTCAAAGAACTCCTCGTGGCAACCTATCCTGGTCTCTTTACAGAAACATCAGAAATCATAAGCGTTTTTGCTTGTGAATGTTTCTTAAGTGTCTAGTTGTCAACTTCCTCTGTTGAATATTCTGTGCTTAATGGGTGCCAATCAGTTACAATAGGCACCTTTTGCCAGGGCTGATTTGGTTTGCATCACTTTATGAAATAGCAGTGTTATATCTAATACAGAAAAGGCAAGTTTTCACTTCATTCGGTTTTGTTTTTTATGCTATAATGAATGCAGATACAGCATTGGAATATGTTATTATATATTGGAATATTTTGCTGAGCAGTCGCTTCAGTTCTCTTCAGTGCCAGAAAGTGACAACAGCAATGTTCTCTGGTCTTTTTTTTATGGTGGAATAATAAACTAAAATGCAAAGATATGTATTCTGTCACCGATGGAGTTTTGGTTCCTTGCCGCTGTCGCCTCTGGCTTGCTTAGTTGGGGACACTTCATTTCCAGCGATATCGTTGACATGATTGCAAAGATATTATTTAAACTGTACTGAGCTGGATGTTGACATCACTGAATTCAATGATGAACTGTCTTTAACTGAAAAATGAGTGTTTACTATTGTCATTTTGCATTATTGACACTATTTTCCTAATTAATGCTGTTCAGTTGCTTTGTCACAATCTGTATTGTTAAAAGCGCTATATAAATAAAGGTGACTTGACTTGACTTGACTTGTATTCCTGTTGCTGGTGCAGTATAAGCCTAATGCAATTATGGCTCTGTTTATTATGGTCTTGAACTCCTCATACTCAAATCTAAATCATATTTGGTTTTGAACTGCTGATCCATGCATTTATCCACTAATCTACAAAATCCCAGGAACAACAGTGGCAGATGTAGGGATGAAGATATCAAATTAAACATGTCAGCTCATTTGAGCTCTTGAAACGGGCAGCAATAATGACTGTTCAGCTTATAAACATGAGCCTATGATGGTCAAAAATCAGCCACTGAATAAGTCATATTCATTAGCTAAGTATTCTCCATTTCTGGTCATCTGTGCACCTACACTAACATTAAAAAGTTTGGTGTCAGTATGATTTGTATAGTTATTTATTTATTTACCGTAAATGTATACTTTTATTAAAGGGGTCATATGATGCGATTTCAAGTTTTCCTTTCTCTTTGGAGTGTTACAAGCTGATTGTGCATAGATAAGATCCCTGAAGTTGCAAAGACTAAAGTCTCAAAACCAAAGAGATATTCTTTATCAAAGTTAAGACTCTGCCACGCCCCCCTAAAACGGCTTGTTCTAACACGCCCCCACATATCTACCGCATTATGTGGAAATATTTGCATAATGCGGCCCAAATGTTCACGCAAAGAAAGAAGGCATAACTTTTATTCTCACTGTAGTATTGTTGCCGCTGCCGCCATGTCGTGTAGATGCTGTGTGCTTCATTGTGAAAGCGAAACTACTTTGTACGATAGGACGGGCTGGACGATATCCGCTTCGTCATGTCTGTCACGCGACTCTGTTCCCCTTTCGGGCTCTGTCTTTACATTTATTTTGAAATATGAAGCTCGCGATTATTGTAAGGGGCATTACATTTCAGGCGAGTACTTGCGGTGTTCGGCCAATCACAATGCACTGGGTTAGTTGGCCAATCAGAGCAGACTGCGCTTGTCGGAAGGACGGACTTTGTAGAAAACGAAGCGTTTGAGAGAGGCGGGACATAGAGGACCTACAATAATGTACAGTATTTGAAAAATAATGTGTTTTTTGAACATTAAAGCATGTCAACATATTCTGTTACACCAAATACACAAAATAATGATCTCTAAAAAAGCATCATATGACCCCTTTAAGCAATGACACATTAAATTGATTAAAAGTGACAGTAAAAACATTTATAATGTAACTTTAAAATTTTTTAATTTTTCAGTTCCTCAAAGAATTCTGAAAAATGTACCATGGTTTTCACAAAAATATTAAGCAGCACAACTGTTTTCAACAGCGATAAGAAATGTTTCTTGAGCAGCAAATCAGCATATCAGAATGATTTCTGAAGGATCATGTGACTCTGAAGACTGGAGTAATTCAGCTTTGCATCACAGGAATAAATTACATTTTAAAATATATTAAAAAAGAAAACCTTTATTTGAAATTGAAATAATATTTCACAATATTGCTGTTTTTTTTTTACTGTATTTTTTGGTCAAATTTTAAAACCTTCAGTTTACTAACTGTCCCTAACTTTTTTTATAATAAAGTGACACTCGTACTCGTACTATGACCTTTTGTTCTGTTGTACCTTCATTATGCCGTTCCAGTTGTCACCAGTAGAGACCTGGAAGAGGGTGAGGAACGCCATGCCGAAGTTCTCAAAGGTGGCGTGCCGACTCATGCCCTCACATGGATAGTCCTCGTTGCACACTGCAGGGAAGAGACAGAGCCATAGAGAGAGTTTGTATTGTTGAATACTATGCTTTGTGAATGTTTGTTATCACCTAAACGTTTTGTCTCAACGGTACCTATGCAGTCATGCCAAATTCAGCTTTGAATTAAGAAGAATTGAACAGACAGACAACCAGTGAGGTAGAGAGAGAGAAAGGGCTGGAATGAAAATAAGCATCAAAAGGAGTAAAATATGAGTAGTATGTGTTTACCCAGCTCTCCAAACAATTCCACCCCCAGTGCAGCATAAATAAAGAACAGCAGCATGAAGAGGAGGCCAAGGTTCCCCACCTGAAAGACACCAATCAAGATTGAAACCAGCGCACATGACCTCAATCCTTGACACAAAATACAGGCAAGCATGCTGTGATATATTTACACTGAATCATTTAGCAGACGCTTTTATCCATGCAAATAACAATTAAAAGCCCGTAGCGGTACCACAATCTGAACTGAGCTAAAGCTAGTGGGCAAAATGTTGTAGTTTTGGACTAAATCGCTCTAATCTTAAATCGTCAAATGGGGCTGCCCTGTGTTCAGTGCAAAATTCATTTTCTTTTCTATAGTTTAAAGAAGATGGATCACAATTCCAAGTAAAACACCTTTACCCTCACATTAACCCCACAGTGCCTTAATAAAAAAGACATTACCCCTCGTTTTATGTTTAAACCTTGCTAAATTTTCTTATATGATATTTATGCTTAAAACAAGAACAAAAAAAATATCTCATAATTTTATGCAGTTTTGCTTCTCGTATATATATTTCATGTTTATACATTTTACTCTAAAAAAAGAAAGGGGAAAAATGATTAAGAACATTATTTTTGTAGTGTTTCTAAGATTACTAAGATGAAGTTTCTAAGATGAAGACATTACCCTGAGGTTTAATACAGATGGAAAAAGTGTCTGGAACAAATGTAACAATAACAAAAAGCAATGTAATGTACATTTTAATGTCTCTGCCTCTGCAATTTGAGTCTTTCAGTAGATACAGTCTGTACCTGTTCCCCTGCAGCAAAATGAAGCAGAACAAATTTGTGATTTAACAAAAAGCTCATAAATGATGGATGGAACCAGCGGTAATGTCAGAGGTACAGCTCTGGGAACAGAATTAACTCTCTTAATGGAGCAAATGAACCGTGTCCTCATGTGGCCAGAGCAAGGCTCACCACGCTAACGCTAACACACTAGCCTGTCAACAACATGTGTCTGGGAGTTCAGGGTGTGTCCACTACAGCACAGGCATCTCAAAACAAAACAAAACAAAGAGATGAGATAAAACCGAAGGCGACAAAGAATATGGCACAGGCGCTAACAGCTGGTCTAAAGTGCTAGTAATTAAGAAAACCGTGTGAGGGAGCTATAAATGTGCAAAATGGTGAATAAAACAATCACTGAAAAGCTGCAATACTGCATTTTTTTTGTTCCTAAAGTGAGCCTCTCTGGCAAATCTACAATGAGCCTATGATGGTATGATCGAAAGTGTTTTACAAGACTGTGATGCACAAAATAATGGTTAGGCAGCTTACAAAATACTATAGTACAGTGATGGTCTCAAGATGGTAAATTCACACTGTTTGGTATACTGTGATACTGAATGATTACTACAGTCATATACCACAGGCTCTTCAAGGTCCTCGAAAGAATACCATGGTACTATGTCTAAAAAAAGTTTCATTCTATTATTGTCATTATTAATACTTTTATTCAGCAAGGAAACAATGAATTGATCAAGTGACAGTAAAGACTTTCGTCAATTACTTTCAAGTAAATACTGTTCTTTTGAATTTTCTATTCGAATATTCATGAAAAAAAGGATCACATATCAACTGTTTTAATAAGAAATGTTTCTTAAGCAGCAAATCAGCTTATTAGAATGTTTTCTGAAAGATTGTGTTACACTGAAGATTGGAGTAATGATTGGTGAAAATTCAGTGCAGGAATAAAATTACATTTAAAAAAATATATTAAATTAGAAAAGTTTTATTTTAAATTATAATAATATTATATAATATTACTGTTTTACTGTGTTTTTGAATGAAAAAATGCAGCCTTGGTGAGCATAAGAGAAAAAAATCTTAGAGAACCCAGACTTTTGAACAGTAGTGTACATCTCTGGCTTAAGGTATGTCTACTGCAAAACTGCATCTATTATTTATTTGTAATTTTGAAACACCATATCAGCAGCAAGGCTATCTTCATGGTGAGCATAAAGTAAAATAAATTAGTTTCCACAATGAACCCAATTGTTCACTTTTAAGACGTTACTGTTGTGATTAGTAATTCATTGGTATCTTGGTTATAGTTCGCAAGTAGTTCTCAATGAGGATATTTTTATTTAGTAATTATCAAATATCTAATAAGTAACTACCTTTGTCCTAAATTTGCTACTACTTACTGCTTAGTTAATCTTGCTTCTCTATTAGTTAATAGTATTAAGTTAAGTGTTAATGTAGTATTACCTATTACTTCCTGCATAGTTACTTGTTAACAACGGACCATTATTCTAAAGTGTTACCGTAAAATGGACAAAAAACTGTTACGATGAATCACTTGTATTCCTTATGTGTAAATTGCTTTGGATTAAAGCGTTTGCTAAATGAATATATGTAAATGTATCTATTAAAAACATTTAAGATTAACACAATACATTCAGGTGATCCTTTTTTTATATGCACAATTGGTGGCTGACTAAATACATTTTTTCCCCACTGTATAAACCAGTTAAGCATATCTCTGAGTAAAAATATTTTAATATTTATATTAAAAACTGCAGTCCTATAAAATGTTTATGCAAAACTAAATCTATACGAGGACCATAAGAAGGTTAAATAATATAGACTAAACAATAAAAGCTAATCTGAAGCCTACAGGGAATGAACAGTATCTGTAAGAGAGTTGTAAAGGAAATGCACAGGAGTTTCAGGAAGGATATACTAAATAAGAACTATGTGTGGTGGGACTGAGTGCCTGAGTGGCTCTTTAATCAGCTGCAGTGTTAATTACCTCACAGATGCCATGGGGATAAGACATTGGGCCCAGCAGTAATGAACAAGGGATCGATACCCACAGAGGAGTGACGCTTTACTCCACCCTGGAGATGTCTAGCCAGCAGCTCTCTCCTCAAGCAGTCGCCACTCTGTGACCACTTAGACGGCAATAGCGTTCTGTGTGTTTGATTATGAAAGTGTTTGGATTGCTTTATGAAGTGTGTGTGTCATCTTTCTTCAAACTATTCCTCAAACTTATATGGGCGATCAAAATTATGGATCTCGCTACACTAGAGTTTCAACTTCTTCTTTAGTTCTTCTAACTTTTTCATGTCTTTTTATTAGATTTTATCTTGTGCTTTAAAGCTACCTTTAAAGGTGTGATATAAAAATAAAGTTTATTATTAATGTATCCCAGTTGAAAAAGCAATGAACAAGATGAATGTGTGTGTGTGTGAGAGTGTGTGAATGCAAAAGCAGGAACTCTATTCTTGCTTTGGGGTTATTATGTGCCATGAGTGATTTTGTGGTTCCTATGAATCACCAAATTTCATGGGCCAATGAGCAGCCTGTTCTTGTTGTCGACACTGCTTGGATGACTTCCCAAAATATGACTAAAAGGGGGTGGGGTGACAATGCAATGCTTCATCAGGGAGGTAAGTAGTGATATTATCACCTGTGGCAGGGCTTGAACTACCGTATCCAGCAGCGCTCTCATTCCCGTGGCCATCTTTAACAGCTTTAGCACTGTCAGAGAGAGCGAGAAAAAGAGAGAGAGTTACAGAGAGTTCAACGAGACAGCTCAGTGTGTGTGCATGTCTATGAGGCGTTGATCATTTCAGAAGAAGAAAAACAAAGAGGCCGATAACAGACAAGGATCCCCCCCACCTTGGTTTAATTCCAGCCTAAACGGCTAATGAGGAGAGAAGGAAAAGGTCAGGGCTAAAATTAAACCCTCACACTGCTGCCGGCTCCCCCCGTACAGATGTAGAGTGATGGCACACTGACTCAGTGATGGCTGTGGACAACAGCAGGATTAAATACCAGATTAAACTCTAGACAAACAGATCAATCCTCAATAATACAGCACCACTGACCTGTGCAAAATACCATTTTGGTAAGATGGAGTCGATATTTCTAAGGCTCGTATTGGGTAATGAGGCAAACGTAAGAGTCATTGGCTATTAGGGGCTTATCAACACACGGGCCACTGATCAGGTGTTAGAGGCAAATGGGGAGGAGAAAATGAGAGATTTGGGGAGACTAATTGAATTTGGCGCTGGAGATGAGTATTAAAGCAACTTTTCGTAACAATATTCTGTACATGAAGGGAGCTCATTTGTATTTCAGGCTGGCTGGTTGATTAAAAAGTGCACTGAGACGGGAAATAAAGCCTTTTGATCTGATCTGGAGGACACTGCAGACAAAATAAATAGATTTTTGTGATTTATTAGGATACCTGATTAAAAAATTGATTGGCGGATATGCTAAAACACATTTGGCTGTGGTGCTCATGTGGGGGATCAAGTTCAAATCTGGCTCGCAACATTTCCCAGGCTCATTCCTTCTCTCTCTCTCCCCATCATTTCCTGTTCCTTTGCTACTTGCCACTCGATAAAAGTGAAAAAGGGCTAAAAATAAATAAAAGAAAGATAAAAGTCAGGAGAATAATGGCTGTGGTGTGTGACAATAAGCACTCGCGGAGATTACAGCAGAATGGATGTGTGGCAGGGGCAATTCTAGGATTTCAGTCTTATCTGAACAAGACCTGATGTAGGTTACAGAAATATTTCTTGCTTCAAGAGCAAGAGGTTCAACTTGCTCCACTGATATTCGAATAAACCAATCATACTGCATGTATTATATATATATTTCGCTAGAAGTATATCAGTTTTCACTGACTATAGTAAAGGACTACTTATTCTTGTATGTAATATATACTGTATAATAAAAAAATTAAATAATATATATATATATGTGTGACCCTGGAGCACAAAACCAATCTTAAGTCGCTGGGGTATATTTGTAGCAATAGCCAAAAAAACATTGTATGGGTCAAAATTATAGATTTTTCTTTTATGCCAAAAATCATTAGGATATTAAATAAAGATCATGCTCCATGAAGATATTTTGTAAATTTCCTACTGTAAAAATATTAAAACTTAATTTTTGATTAGTAATATGCATTGATAAGAACTTCATTTGGACAACTTTAAAAGCGTTTTTCTCAATATTTTGATTTTTTTGCACCCTCAGATTCCAGATTTTCAAATAGTTGTATCTCAGCCAAATATTGTCCTATATCCCATACATCAATGGAAAGCTAATTTATTCAGCTTTCAGATGATGTATAAATCTCAATTTTGAAAAAATACTGTTTTATATATATATATATAAAATAAGAAATAATATTAAAAAAATGTATATATATTCAAAATATAGAAAGATACCATTATTTTTATTTTATATTTTTATTTTTGGCCCTGTGCGTTAATTACCGTAATAATATAGTAAATTAATACACACACACACACACACACACACACACACACACACACACATACATATATATACATATATATATATATATATATATATTACTAGCATCTTTATTTTTATGTGAAATTTCATAATTTCATAAACTACATAAACTGAAAAATCTAGATAAGCTAGTTGGCCTCACTAATCGAAAAGTTGGTTGTGGGATGACTGGTTGACCATCATGACCCATTCTTGCTGATGAGACAATTCAGAGTCAAAAAAATAACAACCCTTATGTATCTTACTGAAGTCTCTGTTTTCGGCAAGCATGAGGAAAGTTCATTTAATTACATATTTTAAGGGGTCTGACAGTTTAATTATGTATTTAGGGGTGCTGAAACGTCCAGCAGCAGCTATGATGAGTGCTGTTAGCCAGTGGTCAGTGTCTGTGTTTGTATAACTAACCCCGTGCGATGCGCAGGACCCTCATGATGCGTATGATGGTGGGGTTGATGGGCAAAGCAGCACTGATCTCGATCTCCTCCAACGTGATTCCCATGACTGACAGCAGCACTATAGCCAAATCCAGCTGGTTCCACCTGCACACATTCACAAGGGACAGATTTGCTCAGTTATGCAAAAATTCAACTTTCATGCACTCTGAATCCAACTTTTCCCTCTAGTTTTATTCCACTCTGGTCATTTATTCCTCCAGAGAGGTGGCTTTAAAGAAATTAACATTTGAAGCTCGGTCTGGTCAAACAGGCGGCTTGGGACCTGAATTGTTGCTGGGGACCACTTAATAACACACAATTAGGAAGAATTAAGGACCCACTCCAGCATAGGTGACCTCATTCGCTAATGCAGGACGAGGGATGGCTCGTTTTTACACTACAGCACAAATCACAGTCGCCCACATCTGCAGTGCTGGAACCAGCCACGGCACACCTGTCTGTGCACACACCTCTGCCATCCAGCTTGTAATTGTGACCTAGTTAAGAGGCACGGAAAGCTACAACAATAAATAATGGCTTGTTGAATGCTTTCTGGTGTCAGACCCAAATATGCGTGAATAAAAAAAGACAAAGTGCACTGCGGTCTGAGCCTGTTTTTTTTTTTTTACTCTTTTAAATGGGTCAATACCATATATTCTAATAAAGCTACAAAATGCCAGGATGTTTACACCCTGTGCTTGCTCAGTGCACCTTGATACATGTCACTATTAGTTTATGACAAGCCAGAGGAGCCGCTCTTGTAGGCAGCCTAATGATAAGTAGGAGTTCTATTAGGGAAACAAACACAGGAGATAGATTTCATTAAACCCTTGAGACAAATAACCACGTTCGCGCTCGCTCTTCACTGTAGTCTGTTGCACTTTTGTATTAACATCACACAGGGCTAATTTCATTTCCATCTGCGCCGTGAATGCAACAGCAGATGCAACGTTTTGCCAATAACACACCCTCCAGTGATTCTAGAGAACAAACTAAGGGGATTCGGTCAGGTGGAATCAACATCGAATTAATTAATTAAATCAATTAGCGATCGGAGGAGAGGAAACGTGAGGAGATGAAAGGTGAGAAGGGGAATGAACTGAATACCTGTCTTTGAAGAAACGTCGGAAGCCAAATGCAATGAGCTTCAGGACAGCCTCCAGCACAAAGGTGCTGGTGAAGAAATAATTACAGTACTTGAGTGTGATCTCCAGAGACTGGGGGGGAAGGAAACATACAGACGGAGAGGAAGCCAGAGAGACAGAGGAAGAGAACAAGAGAGGTGTGAATGATTAAAAGACTTTCGCCTCGGGTTCATAAAGTCAGCCAAACCAGTCATTTTTACATTAGCAATATAACAATATCAAGTATTCTGCGAATGTTCAGGTATAGCTTAATATATTGAGACAAGCTGCATGCATTCATCAGACTCTAAGTGTTTTTAGAGCAGTTTCTCAAATTCATGGACCCCCAGGGTGTCAAATCGCCAGAGGGACTGTGGGAAACTTCTAAATTGTGAACAAAAAGGTTTCACAGAAAACACGGATGCAAAGTGATATAAAGCCAAATCAGCAATGATGGCTGGAAGGATAAATGTGACCCTGGAGCACAAAACCAGTCTTAAGTCACTGGGGTATATTTGTAGCAATAGTCAAAAATATAGTGTATGGGTCAAAATTATTGATTTTTCTTTTATGCCAAAAATCATTAGGATATTAAGTAAAGATCATGTTTCATGAAGATATTTTGTAAATTTCCTACTGTAAATACATCAAAACTTAATTTTTGATTAGTAATATGCATTGCTAAGGATCCATTCATCCATTCATTTGGACAACTTTAAAGGCGATTTTCTCAATATTTTGATTTGGTTACACCCTCAGATTCCAGATTTTCAAATAGTTGTATCTCTGCCAAATATTGCCCTATCCTAACAAATCATTCACTAATGGAAAGCTTATTTATTCAGCTTTCAGATGATGTATAAATCTCAATTAGGAAAAATTGACCCTTGTGACTATGGAAGCATATAGGTAGCTAAATTCAATTTAAAATGCAATATGCAAAATGGCAATGCAATATTCAAAATGGCAACGCAATATTCAAAATTGCATTGTATTTCTGTATTTAAATTTACATTTTCCATTACCCATATGTGCAAAGTTTGGAGCAAAAGTAAAATGAAAATTAAATTATATAATTTACATTTGCCATTTCCAACAGTAGTCTTAATATGTAAATTGCATGCACATTTGAACGCTTTATAAGTTGCAAAATGAAAATGTAGAACACAAATTGATTTGATATGTGTAACATGTTCAAGCAGAAATGGTAGCAAAATGATTATTTAAATGCTATTTGTCCTAAATGCATTTAGACTAACAGTTAGAACGCTTAGGATTGCATTTTCATCATGACGCCGTGGGATATTTGTAGCAAAATTCAATTTGAAAATGCATTCTGAACCCACCCTCCGTCAATCATTGCTTCAAGGCAGGGATTGGCGGAAGCGTGTTACATTTGGATCATTTGAAACATGGTGGCTGGAGATCTGATAAGATCATCGAATTCACTGGCAAATGAAGTGGAGCGTGAACAGAGAAATATATGAAGCTT